GCTGCTTCTGGTGCTGCAGCTTTGACAGGGCAACTTTGACCTTGCTACTTGCAAAGACTCCATTTCTTGCTACCTTGAAGAGCCTCTGGAAAAGCTGGCTCATATGCCTTTGGCCAAGCCAACAAGGATCAGCTGCAGACTTCCAACCGGCCTTTTGCTTTTTGGGTGGCTCAATCAAGGAAAAAATATCCCAGCTGCCCATCTCATGGAACATGGTCTCCAAAGGGGTCATCAAATCACTTATTGCGATGCTTGGGTCAGGCACAGGCACCAATCTTTTCGTGGCCCCACAGCTTGAAAATGGTTTGAACCAAGACTGCAAAACAAGTAAACCTATCAAGCGCAGCAAACTCCACACAAAAAGCAACCCTAAACTATGCGGGTGTTCCATATTTGGAAAAGTAATCCTACACCAAAAACAAGTAAACCTATCAAGCGCAGCAAACTCCACACAAAAAGTAACCCAAAACTATGTGGGTGTTCCATATTTGGAAAAGTAATCCTACACCAAAACAAGTAAACCTATCAAGCACAGCAAATTCCACACAAAAAGTAACCCCAAACTATGTGGGTGCTCCATATTTGGAAAAGTAATCCTACATCAAAACAAGTAAACCTATCAAGCACAGCAAGCCCCACACAAAAAGTCACCCTAAACTATGTGAGTGTTCCATATTTGGAAAAGTAACCCTACATCAAAACAAGTAAAACCTATCAAGCACAGCAAGCCCCACACAAAAAGTAACCCTAAACTTTGTGGGTTTTCCATATTTGGAAAAGTAATCCTACAAATCTATTGTCAAATAATGGTCAAAGTTGCCTCCAAAAAAGTCTACAAAAGAAATAAAGAACACAGTTGTCCCCAAAATTGACTCTAAAAAATAGTAAGAATGCACCCAAAATTGTCTCAAAATAGTTAAACAAAAATATCTATTTTTGATGTTTTGAGAATTGACTATACTAGGTTCTGATGACATAGGATTTATGGCGTCTGATGGCTTGGGAAGAGCAGGCGGGTACTCCTTACTCCTCAGCGCGCTACCACCACAAGAAAATATAGGAGAAAACAATGTCCGGCACATGAGCTAGGACTTGGGGATACAGGCGCAAGCCCGCCGGAGCAAAACAAAAAACAAAAGTGTGGGGGCGCCACGGTATAGGAAAAAAAACAAGAGTAGAAACTTGTGGACCTGTCAATTTTCCGCTGCTTCTGCGCTTCTGATTTGATCCCTTCAAGCCGTTTTGGCTGCCAAGCCTTTTTGGCTGCCAACCCAACACCCACGCACCACCCACAACTCCTAACTCATGCCTCTGCATGGGTGCTTTCAAAGTCGAAAAGGAACATACTCGAGCATGCTCGAAGATGCTCTGATTTCAACTATTTTCCCTATCCTTGGGCTGATGAGAAAGGAGTTGTGACGCAGCTGCCACCGCAGTCGTTTCCTGATGAACAAGGAATTGTTGATTTTGACACATGTCCGTTAACTCCTTTGTCACTAGGAGGTAGTATATTAGTTATTTTTTGTCTCCAAACCGCAGAATTAACTGTTAGTTGGGAATTTGTCTTGCCCGATCTATAGGGTTGTAGTGTGATGGCAGAACGCGTGGCCAAACGACGTTCGTGATGTCGCAGGACCTTGGTGGGAAGTGCGTTTGCGTGGCGCCGTGCCACTAGGGAGGGCGCAACATGTTGGTGTAAACGCGGCGTGTCGCTAGGGAGCGGGAGGATTGGCGGTATCGTGTGACATCATTGCTTGTAGTGTGTGGGAAGAACGCGTGGCGAACTTACGTTCGTGATGTCGCACGCATGCGGATTTGCGCGGCCTTGGTGGGAAGTGCGTTTGCGTGGCGCCGTGCCACTGGGGAGCGCGAAACATGCTGGTGTAAACGCGGCGTGCCGCTGGTGTGCTATATATCAGTTTGATTCGAACCTCTTCAGCGTTGTGCTTGCACCGCGAGAAATGCACCAAGGTTGGCGCTCCTGACCCACAGTGCTGCGCTGCCGTTGCATCTGCGCATCTACGTCTACAGTACACACCCTCACCTCTGTACATTTACATCTTCACACGCTCACATCCGCAGATCTACCATGATCTACCTCTCTACCTCCACACACCCACACATCTGCATATCTATATCACAGCTGCACATCCACACTGTCACTCCTTCACATCCGCCCTCTCATTCTCTCTTTCTACATATCTTTTCTCTTAATATTTTAAATCTAATTTCTTCGCAACTTCTTACTCAATAACAGATTGTATAAAGAAGTCATCGCTCTTGGACAACTCGATTTTATATAACTATTTCCTGACTCGGAATTGCTTGATAATCACCTTTCTCGCTCTCGGCCAACCGTCGTCTAGTTCTTCAGAAGCACTTCATTATAGTTTGATATAGTGTGAAAGTTTAGCAAATCTGCTGACAGTTGCCACCTTTACCCAAGGAATTCCAATGGCATTTAGGAGGAGGCAAAAGTACAGGCAAAGGTTGGACAAACTGTCCATAGTTTGTAAAGCAGTCTGGAAAGCCCAAGTTGAACGGGAGGGCGGCTGATATTCAGAAACTTGACTTTGCCAGGCAAAAGGTGCTGGGTCGAGTTCATGGATGAGAGCAATGAGCAGCATGTGCAACTTGCAGCTTTGCTTCGCCTCGATGTAGAATTGGAAGAGTGTCTGCTTGCACAACATGTTGGCAGGTTGCCCAGCTGCACTTGCAACTTTCTGAGTTTTACAAAGGCCAGGGTGTACAACAGTTTGAACAACTTCACTTCGACTCACTTTTCCATCTACAGTGTACAACCCTCAAAATGAATCCACCCATCATTAGTGTGGTGCAAGGGTGAATCGATGATGAAGTTTGTGCAGCGCCTTTGGAATTTTTCTTGGCTGGAAACACCCTTGAAATGTAGGAGGGGTTTGAAATTCAGGCTTAATTGACAATTGAGGAGCTGAAATGAAACAGCAGCAACTGATTTGTTCAGTCTCTCTGAGAGTTGTGCCTGTGCTTTAATTAGCTGAGGAGTACTTGAGAAAACTTGCAAGTGGTTTTCGCAGCATGTTCTTGACATCTGCATGTGTGCCACTTGAGAGTGGCCAACCATTTCTTGACATGTGCATGTGAGCCAAGAACCAACTCACTTTTTTGAAGAAACATGGCCGAACACTACATGTGGGCTTAGGATTCTTGTTGTGGGTGTCTTATGCTGTTTACCGTGTTTCAATATTAGGCTGCAACCTGAATGAATTTTGGTTTCTACCCAGAGTGTGTGTGTGTGTGTGCGTTTAACCTTCATTTGTCCATTGAAGTAATTTTGACAAGCTGTAAATCGTTAATCTACTGCTTTTGCAAACTCAGGGCAACATCATCCGTTGTCGTCCTGTCACTGCCACTGCGTAAAACTCTTGCGCAAAGCTCTCCACGCTGCCGGGCAATCGTTGGTTGTTTCAAGAGAGCGGGGCCATCCCCCCGTGGCACCCCCTTCTGTATTTCAAAGGGTGAGCCTGGAGTGGTGCTTCTCAAGACTGCCTAACTCTGAAAGTCAATTTACGCCCACATCTCACGCACCGCTTCCGAATTACAGCGAACTCTGTCCCTGCAGCCCATTCCAACACCAGTCCACAGTGTCCTCCAAATATTCCAGAGCTGGTTGCGATGTTCTTCCATAAAGTTGACATTTTATTCCCCAAAGCCCAAACATGCCCAAACTATAGCTCTGCTGCCTCGTGCAACAGGGCGTGTGGTTTGCCGGGCCGCTTCAAACGCATTAAGCTTGCTAAACGTGACGCTTGCCCAGGCCTGACAAACCAAAGGGTCCACATCAACTCCTGATGGACTCATCCGCCTTCCACTATAGCTTGTACCGGGAAAGGCTGCAGGTTCACAAGTCACCAAAAAAGAACTTCACAAACCAAAAACAGAATTGCGACGCAGCGTGGGCAGCAGCAAATCAAGCAATGCGTTGGGTCACCTGTATGCATCTATGGACCGCACTCTTGGTTGTGCATCCGCTTTTCTTGCGTGTGCAAAATGCATGGCTTCCTGCCACCTCACCACACGCAACCTCCCTGAGCCCGCAGAAGACGAAGCACAGCACACCGGAGGGGCAACAGCTCTCTTTGCAGAGTGCCGTATAAAACAGCGGAGGATATTACAGTATATGGGGCTTTGGCAGGTGCCAAAATATGCAAATCCCTGCAAGTTGCAACGGCAACTTGTGAAATCTCTCTCTCTCTCTGTCTGTCACGCACTACGGTCCAACATTCGAATTCACAATGGTCGTTAGCGGTTAGCTGTGCCCAGTCTTGTAGTTGCCAACTTTGCTATTGCATCCGCCGGCTGAAGCGTCGCGCAAGAAGCCCTTCAGCTTGCAGTTTCTCTTCAAATCGTTTGCTGTTTGACATGGAACATCTACCCATTTTGCCTTTCTGGTGTACTGAACAAACAATTCAAATGTACCTCCATCATCCTCAATCATACTCCATCAATTCAACCTTTTGACTTAAGTGACTTAAGTGTGTTTCACATACTCAGCGTATCAGGAGCGTTTTGGTGTTGTCTTATTTGGGGGCGTTTCTGCGACACGTGTCTTTTTCTACAGGATCTCAGGCATGCCGCTGCGGAGTTACAAGTTCCTTTTGTCATCCCTTTTTGCACAACAATCATTCCGGATGGGCCCTCCACTGCACGCCGTAAGGTGTTTCACTAAAGCATCAAGTTACACGGTGCATAAGAGCGAATTTGTGAATCCTGGAACGCTGCAACAGGAATCTAAATAAAGGATAATAAAGGGTTGGTTGATTATGGTTGATTCATTTAACTGGACTTGTGGTCTCAGGTGACATGCAATGTGTAACCCCTTTCAATGCAAACGTCTCATGACTTCATGCACTCGATTCTGGCTGGATCTGAAATCTGCGTGGAAATGTGAGCAAATGGCACGTCCAGCCAAGAATATGCGGGTAAGGATTTTGCAGTCCCACTTCATCTGCCCAGGGCACGCTCCAGGCCCTGGAGATGAAGCCCTGGAAGCTGTGGGGAGTGCGCATCGGCTCATAGTGACATCATGAAACGTCAAACTACATGTCCACTTCTCATGGACTCGTCTATATATGGGGTTTTGTGGCTTGTGAACAATGAGCCTGTCAGGTGGGGAGAAGCGATGAGATGCACCAAACCTGGTGCGACACAAATGGATCAACGTGAACCATACCACACTTAGAAACAAGAACAATTCTTTAAGAACAACTACCAGTGTAGGATACACATGATGTGATGGCATGATATGCCAGAAAAAACGTAAAATAAAAATATAAATCAGCACAGTCACCTGGCTCCTGCAGCTCGCGCCAAGGAGAGCTTGTCAGTGTTGTATGTTCCTGGCCTCAAACACAGCCATCAAACATTGTCCAAAGCCCGAAGCCGTCATGCTAGAAGCTACTACACAATTAATAAGTGCATCACTACGAGTAACAAGGAAATTATATATTATTACTGGTAGCTAGACGTTATGCTTTGTCAAGCCCATCAGGGGACCTGTCATCTTTGACTTTGTAAAAGTGAGTTTCGTGAAGCATCATTCCATTGAGACGAACACCCCACTTCTCCCGGAGTTCCACCATTCCAATTTGGCCTGGGAATCTCGTTCATGCCACTGTTACATCCACAACAAATCACAACAAACTTGTGCAGCTTGTGTTTGTTTGTACTTCGTTCTTCCGGCACGTTCTTGTCCAATCAACTGCTGTCTATATAGTCTCTAGAAGTTTGAGGATCTAACTGTGGTTTGGTGCTTTGGACTGAAGCATTGGGTGACAAGCTCCGCGGGCCTTAGGCCATACTTAGCGCCGCTCAAAGTCGGTCAAAACTACCAAATACTTGGACTTGGAGAGAAATCCAAAACACTACACGCCGTCAATCAATCAGAAGGACTGAGAGCAAGTCTTGAGGCAATTTTTCGAGCCTGGCTGCTGGCAAAAGGAACCAAAGCTACAACAAGCGACTGACACAAAGCACTTTCTGACAGGATTCACCAATGTTCAATGAACAATTGAAGTTGCAAAAGTATGAGGCATTCGGAGAGCACAGTTCAGAGTCAGAGGCCAAATGCAGTGACAGCGTGGGAATGTGAAACTTGTGTATATATATATGGAATGGCGAGTGAACCCATCAGTGACTATTTACATTTAATTACTAATTACAAACACCGAACACCTGTGGATTGGGACCCTGAGGGAGTCAAAAGGAATTAAGTAATTAGCATGCTTGCCACATGGGAGGCCTTCTGGCCCACAAAGTGTTCTGTAACCCGCGCTTGTTTTCAACTCTAGATCAAGGCCGTCACATCATTATGCGTCCAGAATCGCATGTGGCCGAAATGCCAAAGTCCGTAGATCTGACCACGCGGAACATTGCATGCAAAGCATTTGAACATCTAGTGCTCCAGGTGGAGCTCGGAAGTTACTCTCTTTTGGTTTGAACTGATGAAAGTGATGTTGTTCAAACGCTTCGTCGCGCAAGGTATTGTTTCGCCTGTGGTCCGGCGTTCTTGCCATTTCTTGTCTTAGTGGACGTATTCCTGTCTGACATGTAATTTGTCTTGGATGAAACCTTTGCAAACCCCATGAAGAAATCAAAGGCAACCTGCCGCTGATTGTAGCGGGAACTTTGTGCCAACAGGCACGCAACTGACAAGCCTGTCTAATCACTTCTAAACTGAAGGTGTCCTCATGAGGCGGCACGGTGCAGATCGGTTTGTCGGGCCAAGAAAATACGACTACTAGCTAGAAACTTATTATAGTTGTGGTCCACTACTCCTTATATGCGTAAGGCCAAAGAGGCACAAATTGCTGAATCGACGCGGGTGGCGTGGCGCCAGGTGATGATTTAGTCGTTTTTTTGTAGTTTACGGGTGGTGGTGGTTGCTGTATGCACAAAGCACATCACATGTCCAAGACATGAACTTTTAAGGGAACGGCAAACATTTGTAGCTTGGCCTATTTGCGGAACCCATTCACATGACACAGGAGGCTCCACCCGGCTGTTTTAGTCACAGCCACTTGTTACCGGAAATTGTTCCCCCATGGAACTCTGTCCAACCACTCTTCCCAACAGCCACCCTCAATGTAAACGCATCACTACGTGACAAAAAAATCAACTAGGGTTCCTTTGTGGAGAAAGTCCCCGCCACGCCATCCCTGCATGGATTCGAAGTAAGACACTACGGAAAACATACCAAATCAGCATGGAACTCTGTTGCTCAGTGACCCTGGAAATGTTGCACATCCCAGGACACAAACCCTTTGCCCTAAGTGTTTTGTGAATGGAACGCTGATGACCTTACAATTTCTATAAATAGTTTAACAAAGGATTCAGGATTAATGACAAAACTAGTAACTCGACGACGAATGGTTCGGGGAGCGTAGAAAAATAAGTGCACCAGTATTCAGTGTTGAGGAATACTGCACTGCAGAATAAAGGAAGGTAAGGGAAGAACATCTTTGAGATGTGTGCCTCACACTCGGAGGAAGGTGGGTCTAATTTGGCCACACAGTGTGCCACAAACTAAGTAGATACAACCATGTAACACCAAGCTCCGTGGGCACCGCCAATCATCCCGCTCCCCAGTGCCACCAGCATGCTTTCGTTCCCCCAATGGCACGGACTCACACAAACGCGCAAAACGCAGGGCACAAATCATCACAAACGTACACTTGCTCCACATGCTGGAGAGGGAAAGTTGCATGCTTAAACTAGCTTACTTCGAGCGATCCCCACCATGACATATCAATCATTTGTTTTCATGCCGTGGTGAGGGGCATGTTGCCATGGTCCTGGGTTTTGTGGTTTTCGACTTTGCTCGTGGGTCCTTGCGTTTGGGACTGTTCTTTTAGTGTTAGGGATTCGTCGCCAGGGTCTCCAGTTGGCATGCAAAAGTGCTACCCGGTGAGCACCTGCCACGCAAATTGCCACACAAACAGGTATATAATCATATTGTTGCGGTTGTCTTTTTGTGGTAGTGTTTGTGGTTGTGACTGTGGTTGTGTTCGCGATGGTGTGTTTGTGATCGTGGGTTTGTGGTTGTGCGCTTGTGGTGGCTGTTGGTCCGAGACTGCTCACCGCCATCTGGAGCTTGCAGTTGAGGTCAGAGACTGCCCACTGCGGTCTGGAGCTTGCTGTTGGACAGGAAGGAAGGCAGGCAAGTAGGCAGGAAGGCAAGCAGGCAGGCAGGCAGGCAAGAAGGAAGGAAGGAAGGAAGGAAGAAAGGATTGCAGGACACCAAACTCTCAGCCTTGTTTTTTAACTGTTCTTGTCCTATCTCATCATTTTACGAGCTACCGGGAAGGACTATAGTAATTACTCCAATAAGACCTCAGCCAATGCCTACTTAGATCAATCGCTTGCCAGTGGCACTCATGGCCCCTGATGACTCATGACATATAATGAAACTGTTTGACCTCAATTTCCATGATGACTGCAGGTGATCAAATAAAGAAACAGTTGTTAAACGCTTCCCAGTAAGCACGCGTCCAGGGTGTGGCTACGCGGCTACGCGTTGTTGGAGCAAATAAGCATCCCCATCAATTTCAAATACTGGTGCAGTAAGGGAAGAGCTCCCATGCTGATAGGCCTAAACATGCCTAAACCTGTTTTGGACCTAAACGTTCTCTATAAAGTTAAAGACCCAACGTTGCTTACTTGAATTGTATTGATTCTTGGGATTGAGCATTTTTCTCAAACAAAAAACAAATTAAGGACATGGTGAATATCCATATTTTATGTTCTATTCTATACATGTGTACAACTGTGCATATGACAAAACATTGAACGGAGAATTTAGGCTCGTAAACTCAGTGACGTAGGGTCACAGTCCCAAAGGTTGTAGTTGAAGCTTAGACACACTTTTAGCTCACGCCTGAATGATCAGGTAGATTAAATGAACACAAAACGGCTGCAGTGAAACATACATCTATACAAGCTATGTCATGTACATGTCACTGGTGCTACATCTGATCACGCCTCCCGAGTTTAACTTCTGGGAGATGCTAAACGAGTCAGGATTAGCACTTTTATTTAGTGACACATGCTGAATTAGCTCGTAGCCCTTCAGTACATCTTGATCTTGAAGAAGTACCTACTCTAGCTCAAGCCGTTCAAGCTTTCAAAGTTAGTTCATGCTCACCTTCCAGGTAGTGGAAGTTCATGCCTTTCATGGCTGTAGTCATTTTCTCTTCGGTGACAGCTTTCGTTAGCACGTCGGCCAACATTCGGTCGGTGCCTTCCTTCTTGAGACGAAACTCTTTCTTTGCTGTGCGCTCTTGTACCCAGTGGTACTGAGTGTCAACATGTTTAGCTCTTCCCAAGCCTCGACGGTTTCCCATGGCGATGCCAGCGGAAGCGTCCATTGTCACCTCTTTGCTGGGAAACAATCCCCAGTCTCTTGCAGTTGATGCGACTCCAAGCATTTGACATGCTCCGGAAACAAGTCCGTAGTACTCGGATTCGCCACTGCTTAGGGAGACAACTCCTTGGCCTTCGCTGTATGTAGTGAGACAACATTTGTTGGCCATGAGCACGCCTCCTGACACACTCTTTCGTGTCCTTATGCAACCTGCATGGTCGGCGTCTGACCACATGTTGAAGGGGTTGCAGGTGCTTTGGTTTGGAAACAACTGTGCAACTCTTGGTCGATACCTGACATATCGAGCCAATCGTTTCAGCATATTCCAGTGCCTCGATGTTGGATTCTGTAGACCTTGCGCCAACGAGCGCGTTGCAGTTTGCAGATCAGGTCGATCTTGTGCCAGATACGCGGCTCTCATAGCAATAGATCTATACATCGTTGCATCTTCGGCACTCAGCGGAACTTCTTCGCGTTGGAGTTCCTCTTGACTTGGCTTGGCCAAAGGTGTCTTGACCTTGCCTGGTTGACCACTGCCTAACCACTTCATGATCAACTCTGCATGTCTTGGATCTGGTTCCCACCAAATGCCTTCATTTGACCAGGTGATGATGCGATTCAGCACTCTGATCTGTTGGCTTGCTTTTGGTGAACCTGGTGGACCAAGAATGCCTCGTTCCACAACTTGCCATTCTTTGGCTGCTGAAGTGTGAAACCATTTGATGTCATCAAAACTTCCAACTGTCGTGAAATCGTCTCCATGCACTTCTGTTCGAAGTTCTCTGGATGCATGGTAGTAGATGCATGGATTGGACTTGCCTTGAGCAAATCCTAGCCTTTTCATGAACTCTGCAATGGTCAGCTCCCAATTCATGGGAAGGCTTCTGACCAATTTTCCTACCACATCTCCATCTTCTGGTCTCTTGCCTTCTGATGGAATTTCAACATAGAGTTCTCTTGTGGCCTTGGAGTAGAAATGAGCTCTTTTCACATCCAAAAATCCTAGAAATGATTGTTTTGGTTTTCTTCTCTCGCCTTTCTCCAATGGAAGGCTGTCGCTGACTGCGATGGTTAGCAGTAGCTTCAAAGCTGCTAGGCTCGGCATGGCTGCGAAAAATTCGTCAAAACCTGAGCCTCTTTTGATCTCTTGCGCTACCAATCGACTTCTGTAGAGAGGATTGGTTTCATCTTGCTTGTTCACATCTACCCATCGAGTTCCAATGCTTTTGGTTCCTTTTGGAACTTTGCTTCTTGGGATCTTTTCCCAGACTCCCATCGATTCGACAATGTCGATCTCATCTTTTCTGGCTTTCTCTACCTTCTCAGGTAGAAGCTCTTTTCCACTGATGTCATCATAGTACCACCAGTCTTTTGCCTCTTCTGCCATTTCTTCTGACAGTGGGATCTTCTCTTCACACACTGGTTTCTCAGGGTCGATGCTAGATAGCATTCTCTCTCTGTCTTCTAGGATTAGGCTTTCTAGAGCCATCTCAATGCTCTGGATGTCTCTTGTTCTCTCGGCTTCATCTTCATGCTCGCCTTCTGCTTTTCTCTTCTTGTCT